CTGATCAACATTTGCCTGCTTTTACTTTAGCCTCCATTCATTCCTCTTTTAATTTTTATAGTTTCTTTTAGTGTGTGTATTTGGTATATGTGCACATCTGTGCACATGGAAGACAGAGGAAGATGTTGGGTGCTCTGTTATGTCATCCTCTGCTTTATATTCTTGAGACAGGTCTCTTACTGAACCTGGAGCTAGGCTGGTGACCAGCAAGCTCCAGCTGTTGCTGGTCCCCAAATGCACAGCACTGGAGTTACAGGCTCTCCACAGACACATGGACTTTTCACTTGGGTGTTAGGATTTGAACTCAGGTCCTCATGCCTGTGGAGTGATTGTTCTTTCCCAGTGAGCCATCTCCCAGCCCCATTTTATAGTTTTTTAATATAAAATTTTATGTATATTGACATACACAGGTCTTGACCTATGAGTTTGGCAAGTTGTTCCATTTGTAAAATCCAAACTGATGTGAAGTTAGGAGAGAAACATATTGTCACTTCAGAAAGTTTCACTAATCTTTTCTTTCAGTCATTACCCCTGCCAGGGGCATCATTCTTTTGATTTTTTTTCCCATTCTAAATTTCCCCATTTGAGAATTTTATTTGAATGGAATTACAGCATGTTCTTTTTTGCGCATAATTTCCTTTATTCAATCACAATGTCTAGGAGATTCACTCATGTTGCAGTGTATTAATCATTCCATCCTTTTATTGCAGAGGAGAATTCTATAGAATGAATTTACCATAATTTGTCCATTATTTATTGATGTTGCTTCTGGTTTTTGACAAAAATGAATACAACTGTCATGAATGTCCACACATTACCATCATAGGAATAGAGCTTCTGGGTCATTTTGCACACATACAATTGATTTTTAACTGGAGTTACAGTTGGTAGCCACCATGTGGGTGCTGGGAATTGAATCCAGGTCGTCCACAAGAGCAGACTGTGCTCTTAACTGCTAAGCCATCTCTCCAGTCCCTCTTCCCAGCTTCCTTGAGCTTAACTAAGGCCTTGTGACTGGGATGGAGTCAGTCACAGCTGGGCATACTTTGTGACTGCGATGGAGTTGACCACAGCTGGGCATACCTTATGATCGGTCACAGCTGGGGCTTACCTTGTGACTGCGATGGAGTTGGCCACAGCTGGGCATACCTTGTGACTGCGATGGAGTCGGGCACAGCTAGGGCTTACCTTGTGACTGCGATGGAGTCGGCCACAGCTGGACATACCTTGTGACTGCGATGGAGTCTGCCACAGCTGGGGCTTACCTTGTGACTGCGATGGAGTCAGCCACAGCTAGGGCATACCTTGTGAATGTGATGGAGTCGGTCACAGCTGGGGCTTACCTTGTGACTGCCATGGAGTCAGCCACAGCTGGGGCTTACCTTGTGACTGCGATGGAGTTGGCCACAGCTGGGGCTTACCTCGTGACTGAGATGGAGTAGGCCACAGCTGGACAAACCTTGTGACTGCGATGGAGTTGACCACAGCTGGGCATACCTTGTGACTGCGATGGAGTTGGCCACAGCTGGGGCTTACCTCGTAACTGAGATGGAGTAGGCCACAGCTGGACAAACCTTGTGACTGCGATGGAGTCGGCCACAGCTGGACATACCTTGTGACTGCGATGGAGTCGGTCACAGCTGGGGCTTACCTTGTGACTGCGATGGAGTTGGCCACAGCTGGGCATACCTTGTGACTGCGATGGAGTCGGTCACAGCTAGGGCTTACCTTGTGACTGCGATGGAGTCAGCCACAGCTGGGCATACCTTGTGACTGCGATGGAGTTGGCCACAGCTGGGTTCACAGCTGGGGCTTACCTTGTGACTGCCATGAAGTCAGCCACAGCTGGACGTACCTTGTGACTGCGATGGAGTCGGCCACAGCTGGGCTTACCTTGCACAGGCAGCTGTGGTGAAGAGAGCTATGCCTTGTGCAATCTCTTCTCTCTTTTGCTGGCAGGATGCAGATGACAGCAAGACTCTAAGGGGTGAAGCAACAGTGCTCCTGGATTACTACATGAAGGAGAAACAACTGCCCATGGGAACAGCTACTGTGGACTGCTATGCAGCCAGGAAAATAACCTTCCTGGAAGCTTTGGTTTAATTCCTCTCTTCTCACCATGGCCCCCAGGACCTGCCATAGAGGCATACAGCCTGGGTTTGTTGATTGAAACTGAATGTTCCCTTTCCTGAGATCTTAGTCAAAAAGCTATTGATGAAAATGTATTCTTACTTTATTAAAATTTACCTGGAGTTAATAAAACCCTGTTTGATGGAAAATGAGGTAAACTTGCCACAGCATGTTTCTGTTTACTCCCCTGGCTTTTGAACTGCTGTTGCATACAGATGGGGTGATAAACCTATCTTGAATTGAAAATATAAGCAAAAAATTCATTTAACACACTTCACCTGCCAAACATAGTAGCTTAGTTTTTATCCTTTAAAACTCTTTCTTTCTATTTCTCCCCCTTCTCTGTGTAGGGGCTATGCATGTGGGTACATGCACCATACATGTGTGCACAGAGGCTAGAGGTTGATGTCCAGTCTCCTCTTCTATAGTTCTCCACCTTATTTTTTGGAGACAGGGTCTCCCACTTGGAACTCCCTGATGGTCACACTGGTTGACCGGCAAGCCCTGGATCTGCTGTCTCACCCCATTAGCACTGAGGTTACAGCCAGGTTCTATGGGTCTGGTTTATGCATTGTTGTTGGGGAACAAACTTAGGTCCTCATGCTTGTGTATTAAGCACTTTACCTACTGAACTACATCCCCAACCTCCAGTTTTTGGCCTTGTTTCCACAGACTCGGAATACTTTTATTAGCCTAGAGTTGGGCAAAATCACCACACAAAGCTTATTTTACAATGAAGTGCTGAATATTTCATGAAATGTATCAAATATTTGTATTTGAAGATGTTCATAACACTGAGCACTGTAGCCTTGCTTTCCCCTCATGGCTGATGGAGACTTGCATTTCCTGTCACCACACCCATCATAAAGGGTAGTATGGCTTCTGTTGTTGGAATATTGCTTTTGCAATATCGCATGGCTGATGGAGACTTGCATTTCCTGTCACCACACCCATCATAAAGGGTATCAGGACACATGGGAAAAGACCAAAACCCCAAAGTGTAGTATGGCTTCTGTTGTTGGAATATTGCTTTTGCAATATCATAAAATCGAAAATTTGTAGGTCAAAGTATGGTTTGAGGACCACCTATACATTGTATATGTGAGTGGCATAAACTCTATGTTGAAATTTTGTGGGTGCTGGGAATCAAACTGGGTCCTCTGTAAGAGTATCCAGTGCTCTTAACCACTGAGCCATTTCTCTAGCCCCTACCTTAGTTTTCTTTAGGGACATTTATTAACTGTAGAATTATAGGGTAGCATTTATTTTTTTTTTGCTGGTTTTTGTTTAGCGGGTTAAAGATATCTTTAGTTTTATATTTTTCTGTGAATTTTAAGATTTATTCTTTGAGACCTTCACACACGCATACAATCTATTTCAATCATATTCCTCCATCCAGCTCCTCCTGTATCTATCCACACCCCCCTCCCAACTTCAGGTCCTCTTTTTTTTCCTTTTCTTTCTTTTAAAAGCCCACTGAGCTCAGTTAGTGCTGTCCATGTATGCATGGTATGGGACAATCCACTTGAGCATGGCCAACCTACCAAGGACCACACCCTTAAAGAAACTGACTCTCTCTCCTCCAGATGCCATCAACTGTCCATAGCTCAGGGAACATCACGGAAGAGGGGGTGGAAAGAGCCAGAGGTCAGGGAGGACTGGGATGCAACAGTGACTTCTGGACCTGTCAGGACGGCTGCACTCATGAACTCACAGTAACTATGGTTGCCTACACAAGATCAGCCAGTCAGCATTCCAGCACGGATGGGGGAAGGTCGCACAAACCTCCACTGTCTTCTGACTTCCATGGTTTCTGATACAACATCAGCATTAAGTTGTGTTAAGTTGTATTTTTGTGTCTTGCATGTAATGCTTTTTCACACTGGCTGTCTTTAAGGTAATATTATTTTTGATTTTTGTAACTTTTGCCATTAAAAGCCTAAGTGTGTTTTCTGTCTACGTGATGATGTCCATCCTTGGGAGGAGCCACTCTGCTCTCTAGTGGGTGGCTTCTGCTTCAGTGCCGAACTATTTGATGAGCACAACTCTGAGACATTCACTGCAGAGTCATCTCCCCCAGAGGACAAATCCACGTTGCCTGAATTTGCTTGTTGTGTTCTAAGCATGGGAAAGAACAGCACCTAAACTGGTGATTTCTCTCAGCCCTTCGTAAGTGTCTGGGGTCCTGCCCTCTCTACTCCACGTCATTCTGTAGGTTACCCTGGGCAGTGGTAAACCACACTGTTAGCACAACACTCACTTTCTCTCGTGTGTTTCTAAACCCCACATTCCTGTATCCATTAACCCTGGGCTTTACCTCCCCTCCCCTAAGTGCCTGGCTTATCTAGAAGGCTGTTTCTGACTTTGTCAGAACTCCTGCTCTGACCTCTTCTCCCACCTAGGCCTCCCTATCTAGTGGAGACTCCAAGAGCTGTGATGGAGCCCTAGAAAGGACCAACCTTCCATACTGGTATTTCATGTGCCTCACCTGCCCCCCAGTAAACGTTTGGAGAAAGGAAGGCATTTAATTTTAGTTCCTAGGGATTTGGAATTAAGCCTCGAGGAGGTTTCTAAAATGTAAGATTGGGGAGCTATATGAGGCCGAGCCTGCCGGGCACAGAGAGAGTGAACAGCAGACACAGATTCAGAACTAGGCTCTCGGGCTGTACTTTCCTTTTTGCTCCTTGGCCCCACCCAGCAATGCTCCACCACTGACAGTACAGTCCCAGGGGGACTTTTCTGCGGGGCTCCAGTCACCCTTTCAGTCATCAGTGAAGCAGCTCTGTCATTGGCTGGGGGTGAGCAAAGTCAGGCATCTGTTAACTTTCCACTTCTGCTTTCTCCAGGAAATGAACAGAAACCTAGCATGAGTGATTCATAGTGAAACACTGTTGATGGCCGCCAGTCAAGGCCAGGCCCTCTTTCCTGGAGCCAGAGCCACTGCAGGCCGGGGATGGAGGTGTCCATACCACGTGACACCTGCAAGACTTTAACTGCCACCCCTCTAGGTACGTGTCCTTGCTCTTGGGCCAACCAGGTCAGTCTAAAGGGGGCTTGTTAGGGTGGGACACTCCACCGCCTCCTGCAAGGCCATGCATGGAGTGCATGTGACCACCAGCACCGGGTCTGAGTCTATGGTTGTGGGATAAGCTGAGTGGCAGGGAGCGAGTGTGGAGGAGGCCCCTGAAGCTGGGGCCACTTGGTGTCTATGTCCCTAGAGGGTTTCATTACTAGTGGGGTTTGCTGAGCTGACCAGGCCTCAGTCACACTCCTCATCCCTACCATAGATTAAGCCCCTTCTCTGGGCTTTGCTGAAGAGTGGGAATCCTCCACAGGCAGGAAAGGTTGGCACTGGCCTATGCCACCTGCCAAAGCATAGAGAGGGGCACTGACTGTGACACCCCTTTTAACCCCCTTGTAGCCTCTGAAGGGTGAACCGTCTACACTGGCCTTCAGGAGAACTGGACACTCTGGACCCACCTTCACCGGGTCCTGTCCTCGCCCACTCCCATGATCTGGTGAGTATAAGTCTCCTCAGGCCTCACTTCCTCACCTGAATTACCACACCAAACCTTTGAAACGCCAGTGTTTCTGCATATACAGGACCAGCTGGCTCATTGTGGGTTGGTTCTTGCTTTCAAAATTCAACCATCATAACAGTAAGGCAATTATTCACCCCAACCTCTCTGAAGTAGTAACTGGGGCATTATGCATTATAATAGTTCAGCAAATATCCAGGAGCTGGTAAAGGGACAATTAACAGACAAGGGCCTGTGATGCCTATACTGTGGGCTGAAGTGGGTTGGAGGTCAGTGTACAGGAAGGACAGGGAAGGCTCATAATAGTTCAGCAAATATCCAGGAGCTGGTAAAGGGACAATTAACAGACAAAGGCCTGTGATGCCTATACTGTGGGCTGAAGTGGGTTGGAAGCCAGCAGAGAAAAGACCTAAGGAGCCCATGTCTGCACACTGTGGTTTCTGAGAACTGCTCTTGACAAAGGCCTGGAGGCCTGTATGGTGGGGTGGGCTGAGAGAAGTGGTGCAGACCAGCCAGACAGGTGGACGTGGGTTCAAGTCTGTGTGTCCATCCAAGGTACTTGATGTGAACTCCTGCGGACCTGGGAGCATTTCCTATGTTGAGTAATGGAAAAGACAATTAGAAAAATCCTGTAGGGCCGAGGATTAAAAGCAACTAGACCCCGTGTGCTGCTGCCACCTTAGCTTTGTTACTAAAGATGGTCACTATCTGAGGTCCCTCATCCTTCTCCTTCTTCAGGGGCAGCTGTTGGGGTTTATTGTTCCTTTGCTTTTATTCTGGGTTCTCCTCCCATCTAAATTGTTTAACATATGCAACTTTGTTTTACACATTATTGAATTCCATAAAAGGATATTAAGTATATTTTGTGTATCTGTGTGTGGTGTATAGATGTGTGTATGCATACATGTGCGGGCACGCTCCCCTATGCATGTGCGTGTGGAAGGCAGAACCTGATGGAAAGCATCTTCCTGTATCACTCTCAGTCTGATCCTTTGAGACAGGGTCTCTTTCTGAACCTTCCCTTTCTGCTAGACTGGCTGGCAGGGAGATCTGAGGATCCTCCTGTCTCTGCCTTCCAGCTACAGGATTATAGACCTGTGCCACTGTCCCAGCCTCTGTGTGAGAACTGAGGAACTGACTCAGGTCATCGGGCTTATACAGCAGGCACTTTACCCACTGAGGCCATCTTTCTAGCCTGAATTAAATAATTTTAAACACTTGCTTAATTGGCTCAAAGTTATGTTTCTGAAATTTGTTTGTATTGTGACATATGCTTCCAATTCATTCATATTTACTGCTGTATAGCATTCTATGACATGAACATACTAGTTCTGTGAGACACTGTTGGTAGGCACTTGAGATCTTTCTAGATTGTTTCCCTCTTATAAGCAGTGCTGCTTTGACTGTTCTTATAAGAATTTCTCCAGAGCGTGTACCCTAGAAAGAGATTTGGCTCATAGGATATATTATCTTCAGCCTGGATGAGGATTGGTTCCAAGATCCCCTCCCATGCCCAGATCTGCAGATGTTCAAGTCCCTTATATAAATTGGTGCCATATTCATATAGAATCTACGTACAGCCCTGCACGTGTAGTTAAATCCGAAGGTATGGAACCTGCAGATATGCGCTGTGCATCGTTTTACCACCTGCCAGCGGTTTATCAAAGCCACTGCTTCTCCACGTCTTCAACATTTGATGTTGCCAGTATTTAAAAAATATAATAATTTTGCTTTTCATTTTTTGGTTCTTTATCAAGCTGGAAATGATTTTGATTTTCTATACTGTGTGAAATAGGGAGTAAAATATGGTTTTAAAATTTTTCATTTTTACTTAAAATTTAAATTAGTATGTTTTCCTTGAACATAATGATGTGTTTCTTAAAAACATTTTCTTTCAAGTATATCAGGCACTCCGGCCACAGTCCCCTCCCAATGTTTTCCCCTCCTGCTGGTCACCTTCCCTTTTCCCAAGTTCCATCACCTTGACTTTCAAGTCATTTGTAAATGACTCTTTGGCTTTCCCACGTGGATAGCCAGGAGTCTTAGCTGCACTGTTACAAAGACCACAGATCTACAGTAGCCCCCGCTTTCGTTCCTCTGTGGAGCTGTTTCTGCCCGTGTTACCAGTTTCTTTGACCTTCCCAGTACTGAGCAAGATTATTTACTGTAGGTTTGTAATAAATGTTATTATCCAGAAAGACTCTCCCCATTTTCTTCTATTCTTTCTTTTTCAGGACTTTGCTCTTTCATAAACATTTTAGAATCAGCTTATTGGGTTCAGGAGAAAAGCTTTCTACATATTCAATTGGAAATAGGTAATTTGGGTATGAAAACGAATCTTCCAGTCTGTAAACAAGGCTTGTCTTTCTATTTAAGTATTTTTAAGGAATTTAAATAAAGTTTTATAATTTTCCTCAAAAAAAAACCCAGCCTGTATTTGAACTAGATTGACTCCTTATAAGAATTTTTGTACGCTGTTGATGTACATTTGCACGTTAAAGCAGAATCATCATGGTTCTCATCTGGAGAATAGATTGTGGGAAGGAAAGGGAAAAGCAAGACTTAACAGGCTTGTACAAGAAGGCAGGCTGGGGTGAGGGTGGCTTGCCACCAAGTGACAGCAGGAGAGATAGTGTGAGTAGGTTAGATTCAAGATACTGTTTGAGAGTAGAATTTGATGATGTTATAAGTGAAGGGTAAGGAAGAAAAAGTGAAATGGAAGATGACTGTGGAGAGGCAGGAATACTGGGATTACCATGAACTATGGAGCTGGATCAAGGGCAGCACATGCAGATCTGGAGGTGGTGGAGGTTCAGGAACATGAAGATGGAGTCAGATGTCAAGTGAGAAGTCAAATGTTGGCATCACCCCTCCTGCAACCCCAGTGCCCTTCTTATTAGGCAAACAAAGCGGCTTGGTCAGCTGGAGTGGGGGGAGGTATCTTATGTGTGAGGGAAGGATGGATGAGCTTTCAAGGGTCCCTTGGCTACATCGTGGGGCTGCTGCTCATTTCATTTGCAATGAGCTCTTTGCACTTGTTCTCTCCCTCCAAGTGTGGCAAACCATGAACATCCAGGCTGAATGATATTTCCATACGGCATTCCTACGTCTTTGGCTCTGGGATAAGGAAGATATGCTATATTTGAAATGTAGTGAGTCCAAATTGAGATGCACTGTAAATTTGAAATGCTCACCAAATTTCAAGGATATTAAAACTATATCAAAATGCAAAAATTTTATTCATACTTAAAATATTGATTACATAATGAAATGGAACTATTTTGAATATATGGTTGTTTTTCAGTATCTGCAGGAGATTGATTCTACAAACCCATCCAGTATCTAAACCCAAGGATGCTTAAGTCATTTACATAAAACAGCATACTATCTATTTGCATATAATTTATGTAGCTCTCCCATATACTTTAATGAAAATTACTACAATATCTAATATAATGAAAATGCTATGTAAATAGTTGCTATAATATATTGCTTAGGAAACAATGACCAAAAAGTCTGTATGTGCCCACTTACAGATGCAAATTTTCATGTAATTTTTTTCTGTTCCAGATGTGAAGCTTGCAGATGTGGAGGGCCTGCTGAGTTAGAGAAAACATATTTTAAAAATGAATGTAGCCAGGCATGGTGGTGCAGGCCTTTAGTCCACCCAGCAGTTGGGAGGCAGAGGCAGGTGGATCTGTATGAGATTGAGTCCAGCCTGGTCTACATAGAGAGTTTCAGGCCAGCTGGGGCTACCAGGGAGACCCTGTCTCAAAAATGAATTTAACTACAGAAGGACACTAACCTATTTATTTTTAGGTTTTACTGTGGCTATTAGAAAATGGAAAATTGCACACATAGTTTGAACTTGTGGCTGGCTTTATATTTCTATTGCCTGGCATCAGAGGAAGAATATTTTTTATTCCATGGTTTTCATAAGGAACATGGTTCAAGAAAGACAGGATGTCAGAGAAATGAAAAGCTCCAGTTACATATAAATTTCAAGGAGAGAGGCAATACAGAGGCTAAGAATGAATTTAGAGTCCACAGTAAGCAGGCAGTGGATAGGGTATTTGTCTTTACAAACTCATCTAAACTTCAGGATGAGATAGCTTCATTCCCATTCTACAGGGGGAAAATAGAGGCTCAAAGAGCAAATGCCCTTTGACCTCAGACAGTAAATGACTGAGCTGGCACTGGAATCTAGTTGCACCTGATTTCAAAGTCCGTGCACTTTGCCTTGGACAGCACGAAGGAGTAGAAGGAATAACACTTCCAGAGAACAGCCAGCCTGTGGCAGAACTGTAAAATCTGATCTTCCTTTTGGCCAAATAATTAATCAGTCTTTCTTTTAAGAATTCATTTTCTCAGGTGATTTGAAGGAAGCAAAGTTATATGGCAACTGCCTCTCCTGCAGCAGCCCCCACCACAGCAATGGCTACACTCTAGGCATCCAGCTGCCAGGCCCTGGGAGAGTCAACTCTGGCCAATAGACGGGGATGATTCCTGGATTCCTGGTGATTCAATCTGATAATTTAAGAAAAATAGCATCATTCCATGTACTCATGGTGTGATGGTGGGCAGTTAATACAATTGTACAGTATACGTAGATGTGAATATGACATTCAAAAACATTTTTTTTGTGTTTTTTACTTTCAACATAATTAGCATTCTAGATATGTATCAGTTGAATTCTTAAAATTAAAGAACACTCTAAGATCAATTAAAAAAGTATATCCACAAAAATATTGAGATACTTAGTCTTAGATGAGTAAGGGTATGTCCACATGAAGAAACTGTATGGTAGGAGGCTGGTTGAAACATGGGTCATCCATAATGCTGTCTTGTGCCAGGGAATGCATGCTGTTGGCCCTGGCTCTGGGGCCATAAACAGAATCAAAGAGCTTGGCCCCAGGTGCAGAGGGTGACAAGAGGGTAGGTGAATGTAACAGTGGTAGGGTCAAAGGTCCTGCATCTCT